ATTTGTTATAGAGGCGGATCTGAGATGGATGAGGGGTCAGAGGTCAGATGGAGGTGGAGGGGGGGGTCACTGGGGGGGGATGGGGGGGGGGGGGAGTACCGGGGCGGTATTCAGCTGGGTGGGTTTGACTCCCTCCATCTCCGGGGTCTCCGGCACCGAGGTGCCCTGTCCCACTCCTTCTTTGTACTGAAGCTTTGAATCAGAGCACAAAAACAAAAACAGTGACGGGTCCAGATATCGAAACACTCCACACCCGCCCGGCCGTCCACTCAGGAGGGAGTTACAGGTCAGGGAAAAAGGGACGATTAAGAGAGAAGGAAGCTCCGGGATTTGCAGACTGTTTAGGGGAGGACTACTGGTTTTCCCAAAATCGGGAACAAGGAATGACTCATGGGACGTTGTTAGGATGGTGGGAAGGAGGGAAACCAGCTCTGAAAACGGAAAAGGTTTGACCACAACCCATTTCTACACAAGCAGCCTTTAACTCATCAATAAATACTGATTTTGCATGAAAAAAAACAACATTTATTGGCTGTTCTTAAATATTTTAAACCGGTTAAGCAATCCGTTTTCAGACATAAAGAGTCCCACTAACAAGTTTCCACACTAACAGTCTTTAACTCACCAATAACTGCATTTATTGGCTATTCTTAATTATTCTTAAACCGGTTTAGCGGCCCGTTTCCAGAAATAAGAAGTCCAACTAACAAGTTTCTACATGAGCAGCCTTTAGCTTACCATTAACTACATTTATTGCCTATTCTTAAATATTCTAAACCAGTTTAGCGGTCCGTTTTCAGACATTAAGAGTCCCACTAAAAGGTTTCTACACAAGCTGCCTTTAACTCACCAATAAATATTGATTTTGCAGACATAAAGAGTCCCACTAACAAATTTCTACATGAGCAGCCTTTAGCTTACCAATAACTGCATTTATTGGCTATTCTTAAATATTTTAAACCGGTTAAGCGGCACGTTTCCAGAAATAAAGAGTCCCTCTAACAAGTTTCTACATGAGCAGCCTTTAACTCACCAATAAATACTGATTTTGCATGAAAAGACCAACATTTAGTGGCTATTCTTAATTATTTAAAACCAGTTTAGCGGCCCGTTTTCAGAAATAAAGAGT